CCATTATTTCCTTTGCTTAGATAACTGTTTATTAATTTCACACGATAACTGACCACTTAGCCTTTTTCTTTCTATTCTCCCACCGTTTTCTTCCGTCAATTTCAGCTAAACGGTAATTTAAATGTTACTGTAACATACAATTGATGTGATTGTGGGATATACCAAAGCAAAAAAATGAATATAGAAGATAGCTTATTATTCCGCAGGAAACGTCACTTTTGATAGGTTTCTTGTCACTAGTTTCGTTAGAATTAATACTTATTTAACTGAAAGTTTCTATGTAAACCACAAGTAGTTTCTCACTTCATTTACATTGTTCCCTTGTAGGACACTAAGTCCTTGTCAGTTTCTGTCAAAAAAATATAGACTGTGATTATTATTACTCAAAAAAATTATACTGCGTATTGTGTATACGTGTATAACATTTTCTGTATTTTACAATCTAAGAACAATTTTTGGGGATATTCAGTTTACAGAAATATCAAAATTTGAAAGTCTCTCTCTATATATATGTATATATCTGCGTACACTATTATACAAACATGCATACTGACATATCCAGCCCCCATCACATTAAGAGCAGGAGAATAAGTGTACTACACTCAAAGATGCAACATCTTTTTGATAGAAGTGTTTCGCCTAGTTTCAGACAAAGAGAGAAATATCTCACGCAATTACACACTGAAAATTATGCATATAAAGATGCACGTAAATTATGCAGTTAAAGTATTAAGAGGAATTTCATTTTTAAACTATTACATCCTCGTGATTGATGATGTTGGCCAACAGGAGGATAATTAATGAGAGTTATGGAGAAAATCTCTGAATTAGAGAACAAAATATTGAGTTTATTGTTGTAGAATGATATATTATTTATAAACAACTTTAGATTGTTGTATTTTTACTGGTGACTTGATTGAAGAGAGAGACAGAGAGAAGTGAAGTTGACTACTATTTTTACACAGTCGTCTTTCTCTAAATGTGGTATATCTAAATGCATATGTACCATCGTGCTGTTTAACAAAAGTCGGGTGATTTTCTTGATGGCTTCTAACTACAAACAAAAAGATGAAGCCTTAATTGCATCCAAATAAAAGTACAGATTTTCCTTTTTTTAAGCATTTTTCATACGAAACCAGTCAAGAGTTTGTGGTGCATCTTTTTATGGCACCAAAATAAATCTAGGGCTAAATTTTTTTTAGATCAAACCGAATCAATTTAATAGTGAGTGAATAAATGTCAAGGCCATAGCGTTGAAGTAGTTTCCAAATTACTTCGTGACAGAGTTGACCATGAAGTTATTTTGAAACTACTTCAACACCCCAGGATGCCCAAAATCTTTATCAGTTTCAATCAGCAGCTATATCACAGAGACACGTTTAAAGTGATGCACGATAGAAAACTTAGCGGACTCTTTGAAGTGAAGATAGGAGTAAGGCTAGACTGGATTGTGCGACAGACCATGGGCAATGGGAAGATGCGAATACATTGGACTGACAGGAAGACTCTAGAAGATGTGAAATTCGCAGATGTCACATAAACTCGAAGACTTACAGATGAAAACTAACAAGCTGACAGAAGCCAGCAGTGAAGACAGGACTCCAAGTGAACATAAAGAGATGGAGGTGATGAAGATATCCAACCATTAACAACATGCATCAGTCACTATCAACGGCAGATATTTGAAGGAAGTCACATCTTCCACTTATCTAGGCAGCGTCGTTTCAACTACAGTCAGTGATAATACTGGAAAGTCAGGGCAAATCTTCAACACTCTGAAATCAATTTGAAAATCTGCTACACTCAGCATAAAGCACAAGATTCGGAATTTCAACACCAAAATTAAGTGAATTCGTCTATATGGGTCAGAAACTGAGCGTCATGAGTAACGTTTGAAACAGGTTTTAGACTCTGATAATCAGATACCTATCACGGTGTGAGAGTGAAGATAGGTTGGCGGGCCAGAAAGGATTAGCAACAAAGAACTCTGAAAACGAACCAGCCAGAAATTATGGCCCAGCAGATATCCAGAAGGAAATGGGGATGAATAGGACACACACTGAAGAGACCGTCAAGTAACAGCATGTGCAAGTGGATTCCGAATGGCAAATGATAAGTCAGTCATCCGAGGGTGATATGGTAGAGATCAAGTGTGAATAGGAGATGAAAGCTTATGGGCAGTTTTTGAGTCATGCTAAAGAGGAATGCAGAGAAGATAGTGAAATAAATGGTGATGTTCTGTTGAAGCCCAATGTTCCATCCAGAACTCAAGGGAATACTAACAATAAATAATAAACTCTCACTCTAAGGTGTTTTTAGTCTTGTTTTAAGAAGTACGCCTCCAAAAGACTTGGACGTCATTTCGCTCTCTTTCCTTGTGCTACTGACATGCATAGACTCTGAGTTCTTTAGATCAGTTATACTGTAACAACAGAAGACAAGGGCCAGACAACAGATCGTTTATTGAGAAAATCAAGAGGTATTTATAGATGTTTATGTACATTATTATTCGTTATTTTAGCAGAGAAGCAACGTCTTCTGATTGGTTGTTTTCTTGCTGAAGGTTATTCTGTACTGCTTGTGACCGTTGCTTACAAAGTTATCCGTATATCTGGGAGTCGTATTTGCACGCTCTAAGTCTGCTGTGATTGGTTGTTGAGTTCCTCAAGCTTAGACTTTGTCCTTGTTTTTTCTCATGACCCCGATTCGGGACGTAAACATTGACGTAAATTGTTGTTTACAATTTTGGCTTGCAGACAGCTCTCATCACAATACTAGCTGGATAAGAGCTAAGTAACTTCTATTCAAATATGCAGCAAATCAGAACACCTTCACAAGTGAATGAGTTTTTTTATTTGCGCATCGTTATCAGTACTTGTAAGTCAGTTAGTGTACTCACTGTTTGAACAGTTAAGCATATAACATTTAGAAATTCTGGTATAGTGTCGCTAATCAAAATCACAACTGTTAATTTACAAGTTTTTACCAGACAATGAAAGTATCTTGAGAATTATAATTCAATGATTAATTTGTCTTGTTAGTAAAAAAACTGAGCTGAAATCTTTTATAAAATCCTATTCTCTTTTTTAAGGTATCTATTGCGTCTTTTTTTTCAGAAAAGAAACATGAATAATGGAGGACAAATGAAATATATATGTATAAGTTTATACGTTACCAAATGAACCTATTTATAAATACCGCATACTTTTATACTAGGCCGACAATCATATTACTCTCTGAGCTATGTTTCTGTTTAAACACGCACAATAGATACGATTTATGTAAACTTTTCATGTTTAACTAGAATCTGCACAAAAATAGACTCGTGACGAAAACGTTGATTTTTCCAAAAATTGTTAATAAGATGTATTAAACCGTATAAGGGTTTATCCTATTGTCCAGAATTTTGTTATATTTCTGATAGTGCCTGATTGATAATACCGTTTCACAGAATATACTAGATATAGATGACTGGATCTTTTAGACTTGTTATCAGCTCAGTAATAAATACAGCCAAAAAAGAAGGCTAGTACCAATCTTCCTTTGCTCTGTTTGTCCGGCTGCATATAGGAAAGGCGACTGGTAGTGTCCCATGATTGTGTTCTACTCACTTTTTAGTTAATTTGTGAAAAAGGTTTAAATAAATCTATGACTGAAAACCTTACTTATTTTTTAGAACAACACAATAAAAACTAGAATGAAATGGCTGTTTGTTTATAGTGAACCTAACTGTATTATCAACAGCTCTACCTTGGCTGGCTGCATAATGAAGATCAGATAGCTAGAAAGGAACTCTGGAGAGGAAACAATCAAGAACCTACTGCCCCCAAAAACATTCTGGGGAGAATGGATGCGGACTGGACACAGGCTAAGGAGACTACTGAATGACATCATGCATTTATTCCCCTTGATGAATTTGAATAAAGCAAGAACAACAGTGGTTTGTGCAGAATAATATGGTACCATCATTGTTTATTTCGTTGGCTTCTCATCAGCTGCTTGCAGCCTGAATAAATTATGAGGTTTATGTACAGAAAAGTTTTAACATACTTGCAAATTTTTCATGATGTCAGTTGACAGAAGGTTCCGTAACTTGTGAACAGTACTCAGAAAATTGCGCTTATATAGTTTTTACACAGGCAGTTCAAGTTTAAACAAAACAAATGTATGCATACAATGGTAAAGGAGTTACGAAATAAAGACGAGAGATGCGTAAGATGCTGAGTGACTAACAAATTAGGTAACAATGTACTGAGTTCAACTCAAATTATAGAAGCAAGAGACAAGCAAAGTTACACTGTGTCGAAGAGTGGTGGTGAGGTTAAAGCCAAAGATTACGTAATCAAATGAGAGAATAAAGATATCCAGTTACCAGGGCAAGGAAAGACTAATAACTGCTTCTTTCTGAACACATAAGTCTGATTTCAAGCGTTTGATCGAAATTGCTTTGGCGAAATTGAGGAGAATCGAGGTCCTTTGTCTGTTGGTAATTTTAAAGGATTTCGCGATTTACACTCATCACTCATCAGAGTGGAAGCGGAATTGGGAATGACGAGTTAGTCATGCGTCCTTTTGTGACATGGAGGAGATCGTGTGAGAAGGAGATGGGAATTTATGGGCAATCGTGGAGGACTAAAAAGAAAGGTACGAAATAGAGATGTGTTTCTGAAGCCTTATGTTCCATCTGGAACCAAAAGGAATAATAAAAATCCGTGAAATCACTTTTATGATAATTTTTACACAGATTATGTTTAAAATGGAAAGTGAATAAAAAGACATCGTGAGGTTATTTTGTTTAAGTTGTTTTCAGTTTGTTATAATCAGTTGTCTCCCGTAAATTCTTTAATCATTCGTATTAATGGTAATATTTGACATACTCATGCAACCAAATAGCATGATTAGTGTATGACTGGCTGACTTTAACTCAGGGGGTTATCTACGTTTGGTAAACCGCACTATGTGGCTTTCTATTCTACTACCACAAATGCTTAAGTAAATACCTGAATGTCGAATACAATACTTCCTCCAAAGAAACTTGGCTTTCTAAGTATTTTCTCTGAGTAACTTGATTTCATCAATATATGAAAAAAAGTGACGTACACCAACGTTTCAGTGGATTATAAATAAATGAAATGTCTACTCCTCATGTAACAAAGTATCTTAAATTATGAAAGACAAATTTCAGACGTCATTCGGTAAATGGAGTTGGGATGTAAGCTCTTAAGTAGAAGGTACTTCAACCGCGATGCTTTTTCGAATTTTATTGGAATTTTATAGGCAATATAATAAATATTCTCAGAGGAGAATTTAAAACTATGTAGAACATTTATTCAAATAACTTCTTGGATTTGTATAAAAATCACTTAATGTAATTTTTTGTTTAATATAGTTCTATATTTGATGTGGACTCTCCATTCACTTTATGTATGATGAATTTATTCTGAGTGGATTGAATTAAGTTCTTATTTCACAACAGTATGTTGACACTTAGATACTCTCCAATAACACTCCTGAAGGAAACTGCAGCTTCTTAGGTGGATACCAATCTATCAGCGTAACTTATATTATTATTTTGTTTTTCATTCCCTTGGGTTCCAAGCGCGACATACACCTACAGCAGCACATCTCTGCTTCACTTTGTTCTCAGCAGTCTTTTTTATCCGGCTCCACGGCTGCCCATAAGCTTTCTTTCTATCGCCTCCATGTCATCCTCAGACTCACGCCTAACTCATAATTTTCTATTCGAGTTTCCCTCGACAAAGTAGCATGTGTTGTCACTCAGCGGTCTTCTCAGAATATGTCCAAACCATCAGAAGTGTAGAATAATTTATTGAGTAGTGATAACGATAGTAGCTTTATTCTGGACAAAATGTTTACACAAGGTACAGAATTCTCAGTGTATAATTTATTGCATAATATTTTATATTTATTCATGATCTTCAAGTAAAATAGTAATCTGTAGTATATCATGTGACTCAGTTATGTTCGATCTGAAGCAGATAAAAGTCCCTTGTGTTATTTCTCCTTCGTCTTCAAGAAATGTGCACCGGTGTTTTAAAAGCCGATTGAAAATATACGTGGGTACATTTTGCGACTTAAAGATATAAGTGAAAGGTTAAAAAAATTTTCAAGTATTGGTTTTGTAGGGATTTTGTTTGATTGCATGGAGGATTTCATCATGAGCTGATATCGGTTAGAGAACCATTGGAAAACCTGGGAGTACTGGACAGCCGTTTCGTTCTAGTTTGGGACTCTTCACAGTACGCACCCACCGAGGTTCTAACCCAGGACCTTCTGGTTACAAGGCGAGCTCGTAGACCATTGAGCCACTGGGACCCAATCCAATAGTCTACGAGCTCGCCTTGTAACCAGAAGGTCCTGGGTTCGAACCTTGGCGGTGGGTGCGTACTGATGAAGAGTCCCAAACTAGGACGAAACGGCTGTCCAGTACTCCCAGGTTTTCCAGTGGTTCTCTAACCGATATCAGCTCATGATGAAATCCTCCATGCAATTAAAAAAAGAATTGGAGAGTATATACTGCATTGTTTTGGATGGAATTCAGGCAACTCAAGGATTCAAACAGGCCGCTGTAATCCATTACTCTTCTTTTACTCTCATCCATTATTCTGTTTTGTAAAAATTTGTCACTCATAATCCCTAATGTACATTTTCGACTTTAATTCCTCCTAAGCGTCTGCGCTACATAATTGAAATGATTTCATTCAATCGAAAAAGAGTGGAAACCTAATACCGACATTGTAATATTTATTTCTGGAATGTTTACATCCCATTCAAATCGAATCCTTAAAAATTGTTTATATTATTCATTTAGGAACCATATTGTTTACAAAGGATTACTATAATCTGAGGAGGAGGAAGAATTTTTAAAAAATATAGAAATCAAAATTCCTATCACATAACATCTGTCTCAGAATCTACTGATATCTTTATAGTAATTTGATATTTGTTCTGTAATCTTCTTTTTAGAAAATCGAAGGGAATAAAGTAAATAACTAAAAGATAAAATGATCTTTATCAGGCAAGAGATTAATATTTTTTTAATGACTCATAGACTTGAAAATACACAATAAACCAAGCTAGAATAAACGATATGATTATTAGAAAAAAATGTATTGAAGATAATTTGAAGCTTCTGTTCAACAGGTTGGAGAGATGGTTTTGAAATAATGGAGAACGATTGTTGCTTTGGTGGATGATTTTTGAACTGTTATGTACAGTGAGCTGAACGGAAGGACGTAAATGCTGGGAATCAGCTTTGTTTATTTCATGCTTAATCTATCCGGGTAAAAAATATACAGGCTGAAGGTTGGAATCCTTCCTGTCTAGACCCACATTTTCACTTCACTTTTAAACACTATCCAGTGCACTAAAAGTTAGTTTGGGAAAAGTCTGACTCATTATTGTTATTGTTTGCATTCCAAGTAGGGCATATGATATCAACCACACACCTCTACTGAACTCGGCCTCCTAGTGTCTTTTTCGACTAGCTATGCATCTCTATACAAGCTTGTATTCCCTCTTCATATGATCTTCTCTGCGTCACTCCCAGGAGCTAAAGGAACTCTTCCTGTATTGTGTGTTCTCAGTTCGCATTATGACAGCCATTAGAATTTCGGTGTCATCATCTGACAGGAGTCTTATCCGCTGCCGCTAGCAGTTGTCAGTAGGAGTACTCGTTATTCTCCACTAAATCTGAGCTACTTGCAGATTCATAGGATTGCATAAGTGTAAATTTACCTCATTTTAAGTTGAATCCTGCTGTCATAATTATGAAGGAGATTGGTTCACACTTCACAACAGCCTCTGAAGCTGTTCTTGAAATCAAAATAGCTCATTGTGGACGCTGTTTTTATCTGGATAACCGGATATTTTACATTTCTCTGTCGAAGAAAGCACATCGATCAACTGGCTTTCATCTACTGACGTCATCCATCCTAGAATTGAGGAATCTTCCTGATTCCACGGAAGAATCTGTTTATTTCTTCTGTACTTTGAATTTTCAATGATTAAAAAGTTGTTTTTGTATTAGCTGATCATCCAACTTACCCTGTTTTTAGGCTTAGGACTGGCTACTGTTCCGGTCAACTATCTAGTTACAGTTTTCTCAGGGATTACATTTTATAATGATACGGAATATAGCTTTATATCTGCTAACGAGACTGTTCTATCCCTTTTTTGTCTTCGACAAGTTTCAACATGGGTTAAGCAAATATGGGAATGAACATGTAATTCATCAATTAAAAGAATAGATAGTGATATAATTCATGTTTATTCAGAGTTTCTGAGTTTATCATTTTGTGAATCTTAGAGAAATTCACGCTCAGTTTTGTCGATATGGGAGTAGATTTCAAAACAGTCTGTAACTCATCTTGTCAGTTAAAAGTTAATAATATGGCCATTTTAAGATGCGTAAATTCGTTATTGTGTTGTGTTTCCTGTAGACCTCCTGATTTACTGCTCAAGCTGTAACGCTAAACTTAATCCTACCAAATTTCAGAGTTTATATTACCTTTTCAAAAATTGGGATACTGCTTAACGTAAAGCAGTAATAATACCTGTTGTATGGATAATTCATCCAATCAGTGGAAACTGAAGAATAGCTGATTCGACTAACTGATTCGATTGAATATTACACAGTGCATCTTATAATTATAAATGCTCACTGACTTGATTTCAAAACCACTGAGTAATTATTCTTTGCTTAACTGTGTTCAGAATGCTTCATTTAGCAGGTAATTAGGTGTCACGTTCTCCGATGATCTAACTTTAACATCCATGGTCAGAAATGTAACTTTTGTTACTGAAAAGCAAATGAATTGTACGTTATTTATAATAGCGCATATTCTCAATGAAGTCTCGAAAGTAAAATGGTTGATTTCCCATCATTTAAGTGTATTTGGCTAATCCTTATTAGTAAGACAGGCCCTTAGTCAGACTCTTTGTTTATGTAAACTGCTATATACTGATGACCACGTAAAGTAGGATTTGAATTCAGGTTCTGTGATTACAGTAAAATTCAAATATTATATAAGTTTATTTAGTATAAAACAATGATGAGGGAATATTAACTGAAATATACGAAGTTATTTAGAAACAGTTTAAGTTTTTATTGTATTGGATTTTAAAAGATCTGTGGATTAAGAACCATGCTTCAGTCTGTGGCAGTCGTATGATTTGACTGAAAAGACTTCGGTCCAGATGACCATTGGCATCATCACTCCAGGAGAAAAATTTAGGTAACATTTACACATTCCATTCTGAAGGTGTTTCAGTTAATTCACATAATAATGCATGTATATTTCGTTAAAATTTTGAAATTTCGCACAATCATTCCCTCAATTCTTTAAACACAACACGTTTTCGCTTGTTCAGCAAGTTTAAAGTTTTATAACATTTAAATTTTTGCATAAATGTATAAGAAACCTAATATTTCATTAAAAATTTGTATTCCATTTGATATAATTCAACATTTTTGTGATCACACTCTCAATTGAGAATAGTTTTGATTTATAAAACTGACAAATCACTGAATTAAGGATTTTCTCTCACTCCATTAGATTTATCTCAGTTATTGTTCTAATTAGCTGCGTGTATGCTGATCACCACCAAAATAAAAATGAAGCATTCATTAATCACTGTGTAATCAAGTCTTGTTTTATTAAGGCCACTGGATCTCGTTCTAGTGGTGAATAGTCAACGAGCCTGCTTAGTATCCTGAAGGTCCTGCTTTACCGATGACTAGTACTGATTGGTCCCAAACCGGGACGAAACAGCTGTCTAGTACTCTTTGGTTTTCAGTGGTTCTCCACTGGATGTCAGTTCGTGATCACACTTAGGGATAAAACTATTCACAGTGGTTTGGACCTTGTGAAATTGAACAAAGTAACACTGTTAATTTATTCCTACTACTACAAATGAAAAAGAAAAAGAGGAAAGTCAATCACTGATTATTTGCAATTCAGCAAAATTAGTAGTAGAAATAACACCCGTCATTTGGGTGTTACTGTGAGTCAGCTAGTTTCCTAAAATGCCAAGAAAGGCAGTGAAGTTCAAG